AAATGTTCGAAGAAAATGTTAACAAACATGAAGAATATGAAGAATATAATTAATACCGCTAAATCATCACTCACAACCAACAAAATTCATGTTCGCATTTGCAGGTCATATGAGTACATCCACCTATAAAATTGGAAGCATTAAATAAACATGAATAATTTAATATAATATAAGAACACTTTTTCACCATATTTGTAAATTCTAGCACCACATTCTGGGCAATTTTTAGTCTCGCGTTCGATAGCATCACGCGTGGCACCTTCAATTGTACCCTTCACAATTTCATATTCCGCACAAGTGAGGCCTTCGTGCCACGAAACATCGTGAGTATAACAAGTCATTTTTCCACATGCATCACAAATCATTATTGGCGAATTTTCTATTATAATTAGGCATTAGCTGAACTCATTTTCAATTAAATAAAAAGAATTTACATGTTTCAACCTTTTTCAAAATGCTCTTGTCCCGAACCGCATGTCGGATTTTTGCACCAACGAAAATCTGGTATTTGTCGTATGGCTTCACGAAAACTAAGATGCTCATATCTAAAAACATATATATATATTCATTATATTTCTTAACAGCAGCGAATCAGAAGCAGGCAAAATTAATATGTATATACCTTTCAAACAAATCTTTACTAGCAACTCGTTTCATGTCCTGATATTCCATCAAAGCCTTGCAACTTAACTCAAAACATTCAATTTTAGTAATACCCTTTGTATTCAAATGGTAATTAATATGTTGATTGACACAAGCACGACAGACTTTATGATTGCATTTGGTGGTAATGTTCACGAAATCGGAGACGAGCGCATTTCCGCAACAAATGTGGCATTCTATTGTTAAATCTTGCAAAGATTTTAGAATAAATTCCATCTAGGTAGCGTTTGAGTGGATGTAAACGAAATGATTAATAAATTTTGAACAGATAATTCTAATATATAGCTAAATTAAAAATCAAGATCAGTGACAAAATTCTATAGCATCGCTGAATAGTGGTAGAATTATAAGATTATACTACCGTATTACAATACTAGCTAGTATTTTATATTATATCAGTATAATTATAACACTATCTCCGAGTCTACAGACAGTATCGTGTGACTGATACTACCTATATTGACTCAATCTTGGTCGTGACATTACCCATAAGAACTGACCTCTGTAACGTCACCACGAAATCCCCATCACGTAATTATGGATGAAATTCCTCTTCCAAGTCCATGCGTAGTTTTTTAAATTGATAATTAACTATTTTATAAGTTAAATTACTCAAGAAAACCTTTTATTAGAGCACAAAAAGTAGTTTCTTATACTATCTACTAATTTTCTGTGGGTTACACGTAATAGTAGTAGTTACTTTGCATTGTAGAGACTAATATATACAGTATGTGACGTCAAATGAAAACATTCATTATGTTTTTAAAAAGAATTTCCTAACAATTCTATAGAATTTGCTTCCTTCCATCTTTGAGTGAACTAATAAAACTACAAGGCAATTAAACATTCGCAGTCATTATGATTCTGTTTGTTATCTTAAATACTGGCGAAAAAATCACATTTGTAGTACGCATAAATGACACTGTTGAAAGTATCAAGTGGAGAATTCAGGATCTTAAAGGTATAATTTTGCTTGAAAAACAAAGGTAGTACACTTTTTGTTCGTTCTAATACGTGTTTAATAGAAATTCCCGTGAAAATGCAAAGACTTCGGTATTTGACCAGAGAATTACGCAACGAAGGTACTCTGAAGGACTATAGTTTCAAAAGTGAAGGGGTAATGTTTTTATCGTTATATAAAACTCTGTATGTAGCCATGCCACATGGAAAAAAAATTTCGCTTACAGTATCTGAATGTGACACTATTGAAAGTGTCAAACAAAAAATTCATGAACTCGAAGGTATAATCTTAGTTTGGAGTAAATGAAAATGGGCTGCATGTTGTTAGTTGCTCATTATAAAACTTGTTTAATAGGAATCCCTATAAATGAACAAAGGCTTAAGTACATGACCAAAGAACTAGAACACAATGAAAAGAAGCTGACAGATTATAAAATTAAGGACGAAAGTACTATGTATGTAACTTTGAGATTAAGAGGCGGATGTTGAAAGAATGTAGATTACTACGTATAGGCTTAAACTCATTGCCATTTTATGCGAGGAGTATTTCCACACTGTATGTTTTAAGTTTCTTGATTAGTTGTAAACTAGATTGATACATGTTATGCGCAGTAAACTTCAGTGTTGTTTTTTAACACCATCACAAAAATAAATGCACTTATACTCTTGCTAAATTTGATCTTTTTTACTTAATCGCGATTAGTTAAAATTACTAATTTTTTAAAAAAATGATTGTGTTGTATATATTCTTTTGAATACTAACATCATCAATCTAAATACAGCATTAGGTTTAGGGTTTGGGTGTATTTTTGTTTTGATTTTATGCTATACCTGATCTTGAATTTTGACGTGACCAGATAGCGAATTTTTTAGATTGGTGATGCTAAGGTAGTTGTGTCTGCGATCTTAAAAATTTGTTGGGCTGGAGCGGAGGGGAGCGGAAGACCTTTCCTTACTCGACTAAATTTGATGTCCGGCACCCACCCTGTAATTGTGATAAATCTCAATTTTAATCTACCCATGCAGAAATTTAATTAATCAGAAATTCGAAAAAAAATAAAATCACATAATGATAAATAAAAAATAAGCGAAAGTAAATTGATTGAATATTGATTAGTAATTTATTGCATTGAATACAACGATTAGTAATTTATTGTATCGAGTAAAATGGAAAAACGTAAAAGAATATATACGTCTGAACAAAAGGCTGCAATAAATAATGCTAGAAGAAATAGATTAGCTTCCATGACATCTGAAGAACATTATGTTATCGAAACAAGGTTCGCGTTGGAGAGGATGCAGTTGCAGTGAGTAAATGGTGAATAAGGAAGTTGTGGGTGTGTTATTTTTAAGGAAAATTTATATATAAGAAATTATGTGTAAAAGTAATTACTAAGTATTTTGGGAACAGTTAGATCGATTTTGATTTATTGGTAAAAATTGTAGATTTTAAACTGTATCTTGTCGATAGTATAGATAGTTATTTGCTTGTGAATTTTGTGTAATGGTATAATGAATAGTAGATTTTAATGAAAAAGAGAGTTTTTTTTTCTGAAAAATAATTTAAGTTATATTGAATTATAAAGGTGGAAAGTATTTTTATTAGCAATATAAAAGGAATAATTTATTGTTTTTTAGTTTATGAAAAAAAGGTTTAATTTGTAATTTGGTATGTTTTAGTGAATTTTTAGATTTTGGTATTGCAATTTTATAGTGTTGTTATATTTTTCTTGATATTTTATAGATTAAATAAGCAGAAATGTTGTAAGAGAGTTTATTTGATATTCGGCGCAGTAGTTTAGTAAGAATGTAATTGTCCGGAGCGAAGCGGGGGACACTGTTTTTACAACGCTGTTTGATCGATAGTGTCACGTGTGTCCGTCTGTTCGCTTCCGCTTACCTGATTGGCTACTACTCACATGCTTATTGATACTTATGTGTTACATGATCGTTACATTTTTTGATCGTTACACTGTTTTAATCGTTACCTTGCAATACAAGAACGATTTTTATTTATACACTTTAAAGTAATTAATTTTTTATTTAAGCTCCGGACTTATATCGGTTCCCGATTCCTAGTATAATAAATCGGTATGAATTGATTTTATGTGATACAATATATAGATTTGATTTTTATACGTATTATATAACGATAAGAAATAGTATTAAATGTGAAAAATGTTGTATAATTAGTAGTGTATGTATTATGAAATCATAGATATTATTGTACGGGTCTGAGGCCCCTGGCATGTATTAAATATAATCTATCGTATTCTTTTAGTGCTGCTCTCGGGCATTTTAGATATTTTGAATCAAAGATTAGTAGGTTGAGGTTTCTTCATGAAGTGGCATGACTTATTGCTATATATGCTTGGCCTTCAGCAAATATTGATTTGTCTATGCTGGTGATAACGTGAGGTAGGGTTAGCCCTTGTACCTTGTGGGTTGTTAGTGCAAAGACATTTTGTAGAGGGAATTGCTTTCTTGAAGCTCTTTTTCCATCAATATAGAAATATGAAGTTTCTTTTTGGACTATGATTTTTGTGAGATTAGTAAAGGTTGGAAAGGTAACTTCAACATTATCATTATCAATGAGTTTGGTGATAATTTCAATAGATCTATTGTATATATCATTGTTAAATAATTTATTATTTAGGAACATGACTTGAGCACCTTCTTGGAGATGAATTGAATTAGGTAGATTTGTTGAATGTTTGAATTGCGAGTAATGATAATTGTGGTCAAGGAGGTCAAAGTTAATAGTGTCTTCTGATAGAGAGATGAGAGGTTCTGAATTTTCTTCGTCAAAAGGAAGGTAAGTATATAGGAGTTGGTTCATGTTTTGAGCTTCAAAACATTTGCTTACGATGTGAGTGGTATTATAGAATTGTGATGGATTGTTGTTAGCATTGATATAGAATTGTATAATTGAAAATGATTGTGTAAAGATTTTGCCAATGTGAATTTCTTGAAGAATATTATAAAAGTTATAGTGGTAGCTAGGTTAGATCACTGACTAATAAAGTTGTAATACCTCTAAATATAAGGTTGTTGTTATGAATTTTGACAAAAGTATTATTTATGAAGGTAAAGAGATTACTGTTTATCATTGAAATCTCTTCTATTATTATAAATTTAATTTTTTTTAATTCAGTTTCATTATCATTATATGAATGAATTAGGGTTTCATAGTGTTCATCATGATATCAAATTTTTAATAAGGAATATAAGATTTTTTCACCTATATTGTGAGCAGTGATACTAGTAGATGTGGCAAGTAAATAGTTTAAGTTTTTTGATTGCAAATAAAAGATTATTTGATTTAATAAAAAGCTTTTTCCTGTTCTAGCAAATCTCGTAAGAAAAAATAAAGATACTTTTTAGTGCAGAAGGTTCTCATGTATTACATATGGTTAAGTATATTATATATTGTTCATTATCTAGAGTTAAAGAGAATTGGGAAGTAAGATAAGGATAATATTTTTCTAAAGAAAGAAATTGAGCTAAAATCAAGTTAGATAGGTTATGATTTTTTAGGTTTTGTAGTAGAGAGGTTAATAGGGTAGTATATGAGTTTGACAAGTAGATTTTTTTAAAGTAAGTAGCTATTTTTTAGGTTTTGGTTTTTTGATGAAATCTTAGAAGAAAAATAGCAGTGAAATAGTCTCTGTAGGTGTTGAATCTGTCAAATAGATCATATTCAGATCTAACTAAAAATTTGAAAAGAAGATGTTGAAAAAAGAATAGTTCACCATTATCTATTTTGTAAGATGTGAATTATAAAAGAATAGAGGATTTTCTTTGTATAATGATTCTGTTTTTATGGTCTCTGATATTGGTTGAGCAGAAATTTTGGGTAGGTAATTTGGATTTAATGGTATAATGTCAAAAATAGTTAGGGTATATAATATTATTGAAAAGGTGATGGTCAAAATGGTTAAAGTATTTGTCAATAATGTCATCTCAGTAAAAAAGGTCCTCGTCAATATTAGCATTATCTCCTATATCGTTTAGTTGGGTGAGTAGATAGATGGGTTTGACAGATCTAGGTTTAAGGTCTGAGGAAGTAGAAGGAAGATATAGTACAGATATGGAATATCTGGTTAAAGGATATTGGAGTAAGAGGATCATTAATTCTATTGCATCAAGCTGGTAAGCTATAATGTGTTTTTTATAATCATCTTGTTCATCAATGTTGAAAAGCTTTGATAGTTCAGGTTTTGTAACGTATTTAGTCATATATTTAGCAAATCTATTAGATATTATATATTGAAAGTTTATATGCTCTCTTCAAATAAGTAAGGTTTCAGGATGATAAAAAACAACTATCTTATCTTCTTCCACTGGTCGAAATCAAAAATATAAACCAAATATTATCAAGCAATCATCTAATTGATAGCTGGCCGATAGTTTGGTAGCTGCTATAAGATTAGAAGGAAGTAAAAATAAGCCGATATATTTAAGATAGTTGTAAAATTTGTTACATCTCGGATAAT